ATTTTGCTTGTCTACAAACTGCTGAACAACGAATGTTTTCTCATCGGATAGTTCACTCTCATTCGGCAGTTCAACACTTTCGGCAAAGTGAAGCAACGTTTTAGCTCTTTTGAGTCTATTTTCTTTCTGTTGCGGTGTAAGTTCTTGCACTTTTTGGAATTTCAATGGCTTTACCCCGAGCTCATTTTTCAATATTTGCCATTTTTCAATTCAATATAGCCATTTTTCAGCCACTACGACGCGGGTTTCGATCAAGTCGCTTCTTTACTTTTCGAACCATTTCTGCTGATGTTGCTGTTTTCTTCCCTCCACTTCATTGAGGTCGGACTACGCTACCTGTATCACAGTAACGAGCGATGGTACGAGACACAAAAAATTTATTCACATTTAAATGCTGGAGTCTAACGACAGCCACTTGTGGTTTTCCAGCCAAATGTAAAGAAATCACAATGTCCCGCTTGAATTCCATCACGAATAACTTTTTTTCTGGAAAATTCTCACCAAAATGCTTTTGTACCCTTGTAAACAATATAATGAGCTGTCACTGAAAAAACTTTAACAGCTCTCGAACTAGTGGCTTTGAAATGACAGCAGTCTGAAGTTGGTTGCAGTTTTTTCATCTTAACCTGTAACTGCAGTAACTGCATGGATATAATACAGGAATTAATTGACACTAAGGCATTACCGAACTCTGGAGAAATTTTAATTGCAACTATCTTAAATAGTATAATCGACTTTGCTCTGTAGAAACAGCCAAAGCTAAATTGGCCGCAGAAAGGAACTCGTGAACTAGTTCAATTAGAGTTGGCTAGCTCTACTAGGGGATGCTAGCTCAACAATAGTTGGAAGTTCACTTAGAATTGTCTAACACAAGCAAATGTACTTATTCAGTTCAACTAGAGTCGTTTCGCTCAATTAAGATTCTCCAGATCGTTAATGGTTGTAGAAATATCAAACAAAGTTATATAGTTTTTTATTTTTGTTTTCTTTTATTCACTTCTTAATTTTCGGGGCAAGGAGCGGTCCAATTCCAGTTCTTGTAGGAAACACACTGACCCAAAGCCGAGTCGAACAATTCAGCGGTGGGGCAACGCACAATTTCAGCTGCGGCACCAGCCTTAGTGCATTGCCAATAGCAAGTGGGATCCCAGAAGTTACGAACGGGAACATTCAGGTTGCTACTGGTGCAGGTGGGCATATTGTTGCTGTCAGGATCGCAAGCCAACACACAGGCAATGACACAAGCCAAGAAAGTCAAGCAGGCGACTGCAAAGAATTTATACGAAAATCAAATTTCGGAAATAACTCCCAGCTAAAGAAATGCTTACAGAATTTCATTTTTCCTTGTAAAGTAGTTCTGAATAGCTCCAATTTGAAACTTGTCGATTTGGCGAAGTTCTACTAAGTTTTTATAGGGTTTGCAAAATACATAATTGACAATAGATAAGAGAAGGTTTAATTGAGTTTCAATGTACCTGCAGTTTATTATTTCGATTCGAAACTGAACAGTGAAACGACATAAGTTATTAACAGGTGGCTGTTTTTTCTTCTTGTCTGCGATTTCTGGTTCGTGACAATAGATAAGAGAAAGTTTAATTGAGTTCCAATATACCTGTAGTTTATCATTTCGATTCGAAACTGAACAGTGAAACGACATATGTTATTAAAAGCTGATAACAGGTGGCTGTTTTTTCTCTCTCTTCTTGTCTTAATTTTTTTAAGCTATTTTTAGGCATAGATTGTGTCTTTACAGAAATTGCAGACGTTTTTCCCATGGGTATACCTGATAATAATATACCCCACACCCCCATACTGATGCTAATGGGGGCTCGTTTTTTACCGACAATAAAAAAATTACAAACTTTTCTAAGTGTTTACCAAATATCTTGTATTGATACAGGAAATCTCAATTAGAAACCCTGTATTCGAAAAGTTGTGCGCTACAGACACTCGAGGTTGCGAAAACTTTCGACAGAATCTATCTTCTGATATTTCGACACACCCAATGTAAGGACTTCACATCAATTCCTCTTTTGTGGTATTAGAATGCAGATAAGACGTTTCTTATCAATACTGTAAATGGCTCGTGATCTGAACATATCGAAATATTCCATTCGGCAAATATTGAAAAATGAGCTGGGGGTAAAGCCATTGAAATTCCAAAAAGTGCAAGAACTTACACCGCAACAGAGAGAAAATAGACTCAAAAGAGCTAAAGAGTTGCTTTGCTTGGCCGAAAGTGATGAACTGCCAAATTTGATTTTCTCCGATGAGAAAATATTCGTTGTCCAGCAGTTTGTAAACAAAGAAAATATTTGCCAAAGAGGTCAGCTGAAAATGTGCACCTTCGGTTGGCCGGCCACCAGAACTCAAGCCCCGGCCATAGTGAAGGTGTGGGCCGCTATAACAGTCGATTGTCGCTCCTCGCTCGTATTAATCGACCGTGGCATCTGAAAAAATGCGGAATATTATCGCGAAAATATTCTAGAGGGTGTATCAAAAAGCCTTGGACATCCAAACATTTTGGCCGCAGACCTTGGACATTCCAATAGGACTCAGCTCCATCGCACTCAGCACGCGCTACCCAAGAATGGTTACAAAATGAGGTTTCTCGCTTCATTTCCAGTGCACAATGGCCACCAAAATCTCCGGATACCAATCCCTTGGACTATTGTGTGTGGAGTATTTTGAAAGCAAGGTTGGCACTAAAAAATACCAAAGTGTCGATCACCTCAAGCAAAGGCTTCGCCGGGATTGGGCCAAAATATCTACCGCAGAGCAACATTCGGGCAGCGTGTGACGGTTTCATTGGCCTTTTGAAGGTCATAATTCATGCCCAAGGTGACCAATTCGAACAAATCTAAACTTATTCTAAAATTTGATGCTATTTCCGATTTTTTTTCTTTGGTTTCATTCAATGAAATTGAAATAAAAATTAATTTGAAAATTATGTCGTTTGACTTTCTTACAGTTTTTTTTTATCTCACCCTGTAGGGTAGTAGAACTAGCCGAGGAACAGAAGTTTACTGTTTTTATTTCTTTAACAAAAGAATGACATTTATTCTAAAGCTCACCAAATCTCTATGCAAAAGCGTAACTCGTACAGCTTACATTTATACGGCAACCCTGTTTCGAACTGCGTCCAACTTCACGTGATTGTTGGAAAAAGTATTTAGGAGAGCCCTTAAAAGCAAATTTATCACAAATTTCCACGTGTTATGTAATTTACTGACCTAAATATTAAAAAAAATAAGTAAAAAAGCTGTAAGTTCGGCCGGGCCGATATTTGAATACGCTCCACACTTTGGAAAGAATTTTGCAATTTTTAAAGAGATAAAATTCGTTAAAAATTCTGTTAAAATCTTAAAAAATACCGAATGTAGCCCGACGTGGACCTGTATAGGCAACGTTTGTCATAAGCCATTACAATATTCAAATGCGAAACTTGGAAAAAATATTCGGTAAATAATGTGGCTAAAATCATCGAAATACCGAATATAGGGAGGTACTTTTATATTGGGCCTATACGAAGACAATAGACAATATTCTGTCTTAGGCTGTAGTATTCATTGCGAACTTCAAATAACAAATTTGAAATAATTCGGGTGAATAATGTCGCTAAAATCATAAAAATACCGAATATCAGGTGGGGGGTTTATATGGGGGCTATACGAAAACGTAGACCTGCACAGACAATTTTCTGTCTTATGCTGTACTATCCATTACGAACCTCAAATACCAAATTCGAAACATTTCCGATGAATAATGTCGCTTAAATCCCCAAAATACCGAGAATGGGAGGTATCATTATATGGGGCTCAAAACGTGGACCTATATGACCAATTTTCAATACCAAAAGTCCTGCAGACATAATACATATTTGAGTAAAATTTTATCAACCTACTTCATTTCGTTCGCTAAGTGAGATATCTAAGATTGTTAATAGATGCCGATCTACAGTTCAGTACATCATAAAACGGTTCAAAACAGATGGATGTGTAGAAAATAAGTCATAAACGGCAAATAACAAAATATTTGCCTTGAGTGATTAGAAGTATATTTTACGGCAGATCAAAAAGGTTCCAGTTTTGAGCGGACCGAAGCTCGCAAAAATTGCTGAAAAGGATTTGGGAGAACTATGTTGCCCATCAAACAATAAGAAATATACATGCATAAGTCGAATTACAATGGAAGAAGAGCTATAGCATAAACCTCTAATCAGCAAGCGAGATCAAGAAGTAATAATGCGATTTGCCAAGGAGCACATATCAAAAGATTTTCCATTTTGGAAGAATGTGCTGTTCACGGACGAGAGCAAATTCAACCTTTTAGGTTCAGATGGCAGACCTTATGTAGGGAAAAAAAGGCAAATGAAGCGCTCCTTGCCAAAAATATGAAGCCTACAGTGAAGCACGGTGGTGGATTAGTTATGGTGTGGGGCTCATTTTCAGCCTCTGGACCTGGTGTATTGCATTTTATTGAGGGTATTATGGATCAGAACATATGGATCATTTTGAAAGAACGTTTGCCACTCTGTAAGGAAAAGCTCGGACTTGGCGAAGATTATTATTTTTATCAAGACAATGATCCGAAACACAAGGCTTATAGAGTGCTGTTATGGTTGCTATATAATTGTGCTCACGTCATGGATACACCAGCCCAGAGTCCATACATAATACCCATAGAGATTTTATAGAGCTGTCTCGACGGAAAAATCCGCCAGCAAGATATGGTATCTTGCAAAGAAGATTGTGTTTTTAGGAAATAATTAGAAACATAAAAATTTTTCTTTACCTGTACGAGTTTTGCTTGGAGCTACTGTATGCTCACGGATTCAGCACATTTGACCTTGACAAGATGAGTTATCAAGCGTATAAAACTACTACAGAAGACAATTAGATAATGTAGCAGCCGACCGAAACATCCGTTATCAGCTATTAATAACTTATGTCGTTTCAGTGTTCAGTTCCGAGCCAAAATGATAAACTATAGGTGGTATATTGAAAATCAATTAAACTATCTCTTATCATTTGCGAAATATCTTTTTTGCAAACCCTATAAAAACTTAGTAGAACTTCGCCAAATCGACAAGTTTCAATTTGGAGCTATTCAGAACTACCAACCAAGAAAAAATGAAATTCTGTAAGCATTTCTTTGGCTGGGAATTATTTCCGAAATTTGATTTTCGTATAAATTCTTTGCAGTCGCCTGCTTGACTTTCTTGGCTTGTGTCATTGCCTGTGTGTTGGCCTGCGATCCTGACAGCAACAATATGCCCACCTGCACCAGTAGCAACCTGAATGTTCCCGTTCGTAACTTCTGGGATCCCACTTGCTATTGGCAATGCACTAAGGCTGGTGCCGCAGCTGAAATTGTCCGTTGCCCCACAGCTGAATTGTTCGACTCGGCTTTGGGTCAGTGTGTTTCCTACAAGAACTGGAATTGGACCGCCCCTTGTCCCGAAAATTAAGAAGTGAATAAAAGAAAACAAAAATAAAAAACTATATAATTTTGTTTGATTTTTTGCGAAACGACTCTAGTTGAACTGAATAAGTACATTTGCTTGTGTTAGACAATTCTAAGTGAACTTCCAACTATTGTTGAGCTAGCATCCCCTAGTAGAGCCAATCTACTCCTCTAGTAGAGCCAACTCTAACTGAACTAGTTCACGAATTCCTTTCTGCGGCCAATTCACCATTTTTCCGTTTCTACAAAGCAAAGTCGATTATACTATTTAAAGTAGTTGTAATTATAATTTCTCCAGAGCTCGGTAATACCTTAGACAGACGGCAAGTTTAATTTGCAAAAATCGACTTAGTGCAAATTAATTCGTGTATTATATCCATGCAGTTACTGCCCTATGGCATATATACAGGTTAAGATGAAAAAACTGCAACCAACTTCAGACTGCTGTCATTTCTAAGCCATTCGTCCGACAGCTGTTAAAATGATTCCAGTGACAGCTCATTATATTGTTTACAAGCGTACAAAAGCATTTTGGTGAGAATTTTCCAGAAAAAAGTTATTCGTGATGGAATCCAAGCGTGATGGTGGGATTTCTTTATATTTGGCTGGAAAACCGCAAGTGGCTATCATTAGAGCACTTCAGCGTTTAAATGTGAACAAATCTTTTGTGTCTCGTACCACCGCTCGTTACCGTGATACTGGTAGCGTAGCTCGACGTCAAGGAAGTGGACGGAAGAAAACTGCAACATCAGCAGATAGGGTTCTAAAAGTTAAGAAGCGACTTGATCCCGAAACCCACGTCACAGTGGCCGAAAAATAGCTCGTGAGCTGAACATATCGTAATATTCCATTCGGCAAATATTGAAAAATTAGCTCGGAGTAAAGCCATTGAAATTACAAAAAGTGCAAGAACTTACACCGCAACAGAAAGAAAATATACTCAAAAGAGCTAAAGAGTTGCTTCGCATGGCCGTGGTGAATTGGTGAACTGCCGAATTTGGTTTCCTCCGATGAAAAAACATTCGTTGTCCAGCAGTTTGTAAACAAGGAAAATCATCGTGTTTGAACATGCCAAAGAGGGCAGCTGAAAATGTGTACCTTCGGTTTTCCACCAGAACTCAAGCGCCGGCCATGGTGATGGTGTAGGCCGCCATAACAGCCGATGGTCGCTCTTCGCTCCTATTAATCAACCGTGGAATCAGAATAAATGCCTAATATTATCGCGAATATATTCTGGAGGGTGTATTGAAGCCTTGGGCATGCAAACATTTTGGCCGCAGATCTTGGACACTCCAACAGGACTCAGCACCATCATCGCACTCAGCATGCGCCACCCAAGAGTGGTTACAAAATGAGGTTCCTCGCTTCATTTCCAGGGCATAGTGGCCACCAAAATCTCCTGATACCAATCCGTTGGACTATTGTGTCTTGAGTATTTTGGAAAGCAGGGTTGGCACTAAAAAATACCAAACTGTCGATCACCTCAAGCAAGCGCTTCGTCGGGGATGTGCCAAAATACCGCAGAGCAACATTCGGACAGCGTGTGACGGCTTCATTGGCCGTTTGAAGGCCATACTTCGTGCCAAAGGTGATCAATTCGAACAAATCTAAACTTATTCTAAAATTTGATGCTATTTCCGAGATTTTTTGCTATCATTCAATGCAATTAAAGAAAAATTTAAAAATTATGGCGTTTGTCCTTATTGCAGTTTTTTACCTCACCCTGTATAACAATACCCACCGATATTCGGTATTGCGATAATTATAGTCACATATAACCCACGAAATTGTTTCAAATTTGGCATTTAAGAAGATTAGGTAGATGGCAAACCTTGAAGTATAAAATTGCCTAAGAGGTTCCCGTTTTGGTATGGCCCCCATATAAAGGCCTCACACGCTTTTTGGTGTTTTAAAAATTTTAACAGCATTTTCCGAACGTTTTTACTGGTATTTGTAGTTTAAAGTGGAACAAGTTTGAATTCAGATGCTTTTATATAAAAATGTTTTCTTTCCCAATACCCTCCACCGTAGTATGGAGAGCATATTAAGTTTGTCATTCCGTTCGTAACTCATCGAAATATACATTTTAGACCCCACAAAGTATACATATACTTCAGCATAAAATCTATATAAAATCTATGCCGATTTAGTGATGTCCGTTCATCTATCCGTTTGTCCGTCTGTGGAAATCACTCTAGCTTCCGAACGAAATGAGGTAGATTGATAAAATTTTACTCAAATGTATATTACGTCTGCAGGACTTTTGGTATTGAAAATGGGTCATGTAGGTGCACGTTTTGGTATAGCCCCCATACCTCCTCCCATCCTTTTTTCGGTATTTTGGTGAATTAACCGACATAATTCACCGGAATTGTTTCAAATTTGGTATTTGAAGTTCGTAATCGATATTACAGCCTAAGACAGAAAATTGTCCGTGCACGTCCACGCCTTCGTATAGTCCCCATATATCGATACCGCCCCATATTCGGTATTTTGATAATTTTAGCGACATTATTCACCGGAAATGTTTCAAATTTGGTATTGGAAGTTCAAAATTGATGCTTCAGCCTATGACAGAAAATTGTCCGTGCAAGTCAACGCCTTCGTATAGTCCCCATATAACGATACCGCCCGATATTCGGGTTTTTGATGATTTAAGCGACATTATTCACCGGAAATGTTTCAAATTTGGTATTTGAAGTTCGTAATGGATGCTACAGCCTATGACAGAAAATTGTCCGTGCAGGTTCACGTCTTCAGACTTTTGGTATTAAAAATGGGCCATGTAATCCCGCGTTTTGGTATAGCCCCTATACCATGGTACCTCCCGATATTCGGTATTTTCGTGATTTAAGCGACATTATTCACCGGAATTATTTTAAATTTGCTATCTGAAGTTCGTGATAGATATTCGGTATTTTGATGATTTTAGCGACATTATTCACCGCAAAAGTTTCAAATTTGGTATTTGAAGTTCGAAATTGATGCTACAGCCTATGACAGAAAATTGTCCGGGCAAGTCCACGTCTTCGTATAACCCCCATATAAAGGTACCTCCCGATATTCGGTATTTTGATAATTTTAGCGACATTATTCACCGGAAATATTTCAAATTTGGTATTTGAAGTTCGAAATGGATGCTACCGCCTATGACAGAGAATTGTCATCGATTTTCGATCACAATTTTATAGATTTTTGACAACTGTTCATTTGAGCCAAATAAATTCTGAGGGTTCACAAACAGCCTTAAAAAATTAAAATTTGACTTAATGAGTCTGAATTTCCATTTTACGCTTGTGCTAGAATATTTAAGAAGCTAGCTCTCATATGCCCTGATTGTGAGCTAGGAGGTTTGAAAAAAGTTATATTCCATCCCACCACTTCGTAATAGAAATATTTCCTCCCATATGTTTTTATGCAAAACTTGCTGAAGAGAGGGGGCAAAGTAAAGTTTTTCATTAGGTATGGCAAAATACAGAAATCCAGAACATTTATAAATGAAGATAAATTCTGTCAAACCTTATCACAACCTCGATATTCCGTGTTCCGTGCAACTTTTTGGAGGACAAGATTTTCTTTCATTTCTTATCATGTTCGCAAAAAACGAGCCTCCATCGACATCAACTGAGAGGTGTTTGGTAAATCATTTTCACTTTTGATTCAAGTCATTTGACCTTGACCAGATTGAGCTGTAAAACGTGTACCACATCTAAAAAGACATGTTCTTTACCTAAAAATAACTTCCAAAGTAAGTACCAAATAACCAAAATGACAAAAAAAAGAGAAAAAGTAGCAGCCAATTAAATCACCTGTTATCAGCTATTAATAACTTATGTCGTTTCAGTGTTCAGTTCCGTTCCGAAAATGATGAACTGCAGGTGGTATAGTGAAAATCAATTAAACTTTCTCTTATCAATTGCCAAATATCTTTTTTGCAAACCCTTTAAAAACTTAGTAGAATTCAATCAATTCGACAAGTTTCAATTTGGAGCTATTCAGAATTACGAAACAAGGAAAAATGAAATTCTGTAAGCATTTCAGTGGCTGGAAATTATTTCCGAAATTTTATTTTCGTATAAATTCTTTGCAGTCGCCTGCTTGACTTTCTTGGCTTGTGTCATTGCCTGTGTGTTGGCCTGCGATCCTGACAGCAACAATATGCCCACCTGCACCAGTAGCAACCTGAATGTTCCCGTTCGTAACTTCTGGGATCCCACTTGCTATTGGCTGTGCACTAAGGCTGGTGCCGCAGCTGAAATTGTCCGTTGCCCCACCGCTGAATTGTTCGATTCGGCTTTGGGTCAGTGTGTTTCCTACAAGAACTGGAATTGGACCGCCCCTTGTCCCAAAAATTAAATGAATAAAAGAAAATTTTGAAAAAACACTATTCCGGCTTTTCTTTTCAATTGCGCTAGGCAACCCTAGCTAGTTGAGCTACCCTGTCCAGTTAAGATATTCAACTCCAGTTTGAGGTAGCCAATTTTAGCTTGATCTAGCCAACTCTAGTTGAGCTAGATAACTTGCAAAAACATTGAACGTATTTTCAAAACATTCTCCATATCTCGTCCCCAGATACCAGCAGTTACTTTAATATGAAATTTCAGGATATCAGCTCTGTAATTTTCCCCATTTTTAAATGTAGTACCATTTATTACAATTATAGTATGCATTTCCAAAATCACCTCCATATCTTAACCACAGACACCAACAGTGGCATATGTATTAAATTTTAAGGACTTCAGCGCTATTGCTTCACCCAATACCAAATTTAGTACTGTTAAGTACTTTCCGTACGATTAATCAAAAACAACTCCCAGAATTCACAAGTAAATATCTTTGTGTGTGTGTGTGTGTGAAATTTGAAGAGAATCGCTTTCTTTGAACGTTTTTTTTTTTCTTCAAAATCTTGAACCCTATGTTGGGGAGGTACCAGAAGAAATAGTCCGAGCACTACAATACTTATAATGATCTGTGTTGATGGAAATATTGAGATGTACCAAGTCTGAATGGAATCGGATCTTAATTTTATGAGCTTCTTGGATATTCAAAGTTTTAACCCCCTGTGTGAGAAAGGTACCAGAAGGAGTGGACCGATATATCCCATCTTCACAACAGATCTTGTGTTAGTCAAAATAATGGAATGTGTGAAATATGAATAGAACCGAATGCTTATTTTGGATTTCAAGATCGTTTTGGTTATTCAAAATTTTGTCCCTATGTGGGGAGGTACCAGCAGAAATAGTCCGATCTCTACCATATCTACCAACAGATCGTGTGTTGATTGAAATATTGAGATGTACCAAGTCTGAATGAAATCGGATGTTAATTTCGCGTTTTATTAACTTCTTGGATATTGGAAATTTTGAGCCTTTGTGGGGGAGATACCAGAAAGAATGGACCGATATATTCCATCTTCAGACCAGATTTTTGTTTAATAAAAATATTGTGAAGTGTGTAATTTAAAGCCAATCGGACTCGTACATCACATTTTATAAGAGTTATAATTATTCAAAATGTTGACCCTTTTTGGTGGAGTAGACCGGTATTGACCATTTTCGTACCTAACCTAACACTGATGCAAATATTATGATTTGCAAAATTGGAGAAAAATCGGATTATCTTTTCTCTTTCCGGGCAGTAAAATATTATTTTTTGAAAATTTCGACCTTTTGCGGTTTAGGTACCGAACTCGATCTAAATTTTATAATAATATTACGATGTACCAAGTTTGGACCAAATCGGATACTTCCATCGAGAGTTATCGTGCGCACCAGCCAGATAGACAGACAGATGAATGGACAGACATTGCTAGATCGACTCCAAATGTCCTGAAACGAATTTGACCCAAAGAGACCTAGGGTCTTAAACCCTTATTTCGATGAGACACGTTTTAATAGCATCAAATGATATATACATGATTTTAGCGACATTTTTTACCGGAATTATTTCAAATTTCGTATTGGAAGATCTTAATGGGTACTACAGCCTATGACAAACAATTTTATATGCAGGTCCATGTCTTCGTATAGCCCCCGTATAACTGTAACTCCTGATATTCGGTATTTTGATGATTTTAGCGATAATATTTACCGGAATTATTTCAAATTTCATATTTAAAGTTCGTAATGGGCACTACAATTCTGTGGCAAAAATTTCGTATGCAGGTCTACGTCTTCGTATAGCCCCCATATAACGGTACCTCCCGATATTCGGTATTTTGATGATTTCAGCAACATTATTCACCGAAATTGTTTCAAATTTCGTATTGGAAGATCTTAATGTGTACTACAGCCTATGGCAAAAAAATTCGAATGCAGGTCCACGACTTCGTATAGCCCCCATATAACGGTTCCTCCCGATATTCGGTATTTTTATTATTTCAGCGACATTATTTACCGGAATTATTTCAAATTTCGTATTTAAAGTTCGTATTGGGTACTACAGCCTATGACAAAAAATTTCGTATGCCTGTCCACGTCTTCGTATAGTCCCCATATAACGGTTTTCATTAAGGTGGTAGTTTTCGGAATTTTTTTTGAAATTTTTCAAATTCCTTCCAACGGTGGAGGGTATTAGAAGTTCAGCCCGACCGAACTTGTTAACATTCCCTTTTGGTGTTTGCATTATATTCAGAAAGCTAAAACGTGTTGCATATATTCAGGCGTAAATAAAAATGTTAGGTATCAGCAAGTAAATGGCAATGCTGCGGTGAAACTGGCATGTGTAAACGATTCAGGTGAAAACAAGAAATCTAAAAAGTGAAGAAAAGAATCACACAAATAGCCTTCAATGGTGAAATATTCAGTTAAAGAAAATTAAGCAATGAAACCCATTGAAAATTGTAAGACCTAAATATAGGCTTTATCAAAGGAAGTTTATAAGATTTATAAGATTCGTAATCTTACGATGAGAAAAATTCTTTCTTTTATGCAATTTAAAATGTCTCTCTTGAAGTTTATTGTGAGAAGCAATTATGGCCAATGATCCCAAGTTGACTTTAAACGTTAAAGGATCAATGCCACAAAAACACGTTT